TTAATGAGGTATATCAGTGTCTCTTCAATACTCTTTGTGATACTTCTGGGAATGTGCTACCTGCAAGCGCACATTTACTGTACTCTCTTCTTCTGGGAACTGCTCTGCAGAAGGATCACAAGCTGAAGGGGAAAAAAAAGAGATAAACAGAAGGTAGGAAGAAAGGATTAGAGGGCAGAGACAAATGAAAGGAGACGAGATTCAAAGCAGAAAGAGGACTGAGTAGTCTAGGGGTTACATATTGCAGTTTGGGACTGAATTTGATCCTTCACACCCTGGGCAACAAATACCATGAAGGCAGCCACAGGAGAGATGACACAGCTTGCATGGCACTTTAGTGACCCTCTGACCAATTAAAGGGATCTGCAGTCATGGACTCTATAGGGAGCCACAGCTGAGACTCTTTGGCTGGAGGGAGGATAACCATGATGAACACAGGTTGACAGAGAAAATGGGGAATGTGAGGCCCCTGAAGAAATAGGACAGACAGACAGACAGAGACAGACACCAGTTACAGGCAAAGAACACGAAGACATGGAGAAGGAGGAGAAACAGAACTGATTAGTTTAATTTGGTTGAGGAAGGAAGGAAGAAGTTGTGTTAGAGTTGTTTTGGCAAACAATACAAAAGAAATGCAGAAACACCCTGTACCCTGAATGGTGGAATCCCTCCGCCCCATATGAAAAGGAGAGGAGAAGGGAATCCCCATGATAAACAGAAGTGAAATTAGCCACCCATTAATGGTACCAAAGGAGCTATTACAACTATTATACAACTGAGTGTCATTTATTAAAGTCTGAAATTATTTATTTACACACCAGACCTAGAACTCCTAGCGCCAACTGAGTAAACTCATAAGAACTTATATGTATGGGTTGACTTTTTCCCTTAAAAAAAATCAACCACAATCATCACTAATGAAATTCAGGGTCTGAGTTAAACCAATAGTACAGAAATTGAAATTAAAAACTAAAATCCTGATGTGCACTTTATACAGCTGCGTTCTCCTTTGGTTTGCTTTTCAGTCTTTATTTATTGTACAGTGGCTACATTAAGTATTGATCACAGATTTTTAGCCTCCATTCATATTATTTACTTTTGAAAATTAGAAGGAATAATGTGTTAAGTATTTACCACATCTGCCCTGCTTCCCCTACCCTTACTTATGTGTTTGTGGTTTTGGTTGGGTTTTTTTAAGTTTTCATCCCAAAAGAGCATTCTATACAAAAACAAATCAATTAAAGAGACAAAGCTTACATTATCAGAAGACCCTGGCTGTAGCAGATTTGATACAGTTCCACTGCAAAGTGAAGGGAGACAGATTCTGGACCACGTAACCAGCCCCAGCACACAGAAATTTTACATAGTGAGGTGATGAAATAGCCGGGCAAGGGCACTGGGTCCCTAACTACAGTTATCCACTGGCCATTCCTCAACCCTGCAAGAGTTGGAAGTAAGAGTACCTGGGGCTACTGCAGCCTCAAGCTGCTGCAGAGTTGCCCTACTGATGCTTAGTGGCCTGATGAAGACTCTGCACCCACGCCCCTCCCTCCACACAGATCTTCCCTCGAAGTCTGGGGTATCCAGAAGCTGTGTACTAGGTGTAGGATTTGGCCCAAAGGCAACTGTCCAGCACTTTTGAGCAACTGGATAACAACAATCTGGTGTATGCATGCAGTGCTGGAAAACAGATCCGACAATGCACTCATGTTTGGCACATGACATACACAAATGAGAGATTTCATGCATCTACACGAACTCCTTTTGTTATCTGAGCCATGGAATTCCCAATGCTAGTGACCAAGCAAAATGCAACATCTGCAAACATGTTTAGAAATTCCCTAACTCCACCTACTGGGCGTGCTGAATCCGAAAGCTCTATTTCCTGCTTCTGCCTACGTGGGTGAGTGGGAGACCTTAGCAACAGCCCTGTGTTTACCCTTCTCCTGGGCTCAGGAAGGAGGTATCAAATCTTTCTGTGGGAAGCTACTGCCACTGGCTCAAAAAAGTAGTCTTCTATCACCTTCTTCCCTCAAGACTAGCATCTCTGAGGCACACTTAGTTACACTGGCCTACACAGTAAAAGTTCATGGGATGCTCTCAAAACAAAACATCTTCAAAACAGTGACCTTTCTTTGAGGTGACTAGGTCAGTATGTAAAAGTTTACAATGTGGAGTTTCTGTCCAGGAAAACAACATTAAATAGTAAATACAAAAATGTTACAGCAAAAGAACATTAAGGTTGCAGCACTCAGCCTTTTATAGGCTTTCCCAGGGTTTTCATCAAGTATCTGAGAGCCTCACACACCTTGAATAATTTATCTTCACATCACTACTAACAGGCTGACAAATATTATCACCATTTTACAAATCCCAAACTGAGGAACAAAGAGTAAGTTCAAGATCATACAGGAAACCTGTGGCAGAGGCAGAAATAGAACCCACATCTGATAGATCCCAGACTACTACCTTTATCTTCCCTTTCTTCAAGGCTCTTATCTCATTTGTGACAAATCATACAACTAGTATGGTGAATAAGGCAAGATGTTCTGGACCCAGCCCAATTCACTACATAGCCTTGCCTCATTCACTGTCCAGTTTGTGCACAGAATTAGGAAGGTGTCCTGTGGAAAGATGTAATATGTGATCACACAATTAAGACTTCATCATAACATGTAGGATGTGCAGGGTACCTTGTCATTTCCAGACTTCAGAGAGCTTACCTTTGTAACTTTAAAAATTACTAATCTACTTTTTTTATGGAATTTCCATTTTTTTTAAAAATAAAGAAAGAATGAAATTCCATCATATCATACTAGAAAGTCACAGAACTCTATAATGTACAATATGGAGAATCAATGAGACAAGAGCTCTTGTCTCATTTTATTCGTACCTTTCTATATTATATGTATAACGGCAGGAAACCTTCAGAGCTATGCCTCCTTTGATATACTCCTTCGAGGACTGTTTTCCAGAATGCTCTAACTATAAAGCCTGGGATTCCATTCTACTTTGTTATATACACAAAAAAGCACACCAATGGCACTCTGAGAGGTCACCTTTTCAATGAAAATTTTTACGAGGTTTAGATAATCATGTGTGTACATTGTCAGAAGAAAGTTTGGGAGTTCCTTAGTTTTATGATTAGAATAAACCAGCATACATGCACAAAATGAACATTTTAAATCTTTATAACTGGTCCAAATTAAATCCACCAAACCAATGACTGGCACATCTATGACCTAGGGAATATGTCCCTGCCAAATTTCAAATTTCCATTATCTTGTATTTGGGCACTACAGCCATTTAAAAAAAACAGTTTACAACAGAATTTTCTTAGCAAAAATAAATGCTTCTTTTCCTCACTCCTGCACAGAGCACACCTACCAAATCTCAGCCCAACAGGTAAAACTTTGAGAAAACAGTAAACTGAAAAACCGCCTTTAAAATGGAAATGCTAGGTAACCTAAACTACAGACATTGCTTTGCCTGTTAATAGCTAACAATCACACACAGCAATTTGTAGAAATCATTTATCTACTGCTACTGACTAAGTTTGTGCCACTGGATGGCAGCAACAGAACCTCACCTGCTTCTGTCATCATCAAATTTGATTTCCATGCTGCTCCTTCACTATCAACTTGAAACAGATATAACTTAGATAATTTTTTCACTTCAAGGTCCGAGAGACACAGACAAGGTTTTCATCTCGAGGCCAAAAGACCAAAAACATCAAGACACTTGATCACGACCTTGGATAGACCAAGAGACTACTTACACTTGATCTTAGCTCATAGAGCCAGTACATATTGTAAGCACAAGAATGTAAAGGCTTTAATGCACGAATACAAAACATTATCAACAGTGTTGGCTGAGTCATAAAACTTGTATAAGGGGATTATATGTTTAACCAGTTCAAAAGCCAAACAACTCAACTGAAGCGCAACATCTAAGAGGTTAGGTGACCAAGTTGACTATCAGATAACATGTATTTGTAAGGTTCTATGTTGCACCTGGCTTCTCTTCCAAGCCCTTCTTCACTCCCATATACGCATTAGTTTTTCTGTCTTCTGTTTCCTAAATTGTAACATCTTTGGGGGCCTTTCTCCTCGAATCCTGTCATGCAACTGATGCTAATACCATTGAGACCAGCGAGATCTGAAGGCTAGCTGGGTGCACATTCATTAATTGTACAAACCAAGCTTCTACCAGTAACACAATATCAACTGACTCACGGACAGACACAATGTGAAGATTTCCCAAACTACAAATCTACACAATTGATTAAATTAATAATCATTAAACTCATTATCAAACATTTTGATGAAGTAAAATAAATATTTGGAGCTTATAAAAATATCTTGTATGAACATTTGAAATGAGTAGCAACTGATATGCGGAAGCCACACTAAAACTGATATCAGGAAGGTGAAATACCATTTACAAACAAAGGTCTTGAATCTACCCTCAGAAAAATCCATTGCTGCCTGTGCACATTCAGTTACTGGCATGTAATTTAAGTTCTTTTAATTCTTATATAAGGTGAAACACAAACTGTGGGTTATTTTTAAAACTGCACAGTGAGTTTTTATATTCTGGTATATTGCACCATTGCTTTAAAGCTGATATTGGGAGGAAACTAACTATCTTGTATCTTTATAGTACACAGATGGTGTTTACAATTGGGCTGGAGGAAGTTGGGAGCCAGGATACAGCTCTATATCAAAAGAGAATTCTTAAAATCCTAGCAAGGGTGTATTATACTGTAATGTTTTTCTACTAGTGCCTAAATACATACTTGGAGAACAAAGGAAAAAATGTTTAGTGTTTATTCTTTTCACCTCCAGGTGCAAGACCAGAGGATGAAATACATTTTATTTTGTTCTTATTTCTTCAAGTCTAGACTTTCAAAAAGTTATTTTCATTTTCAGTAAACAGATATATAATTTAGAATACATTGAGTTAAATATTTTTAAATAAATGATCACTGTACCACAAACCTTTCAATGTCAAAAGGAAAGCAGAACTTCGGCACACTCTGCAGCACCTCCTGTAAATACAGATTAAAGAAATAACATTAGGATTTTAAAATGACAGTTTATTTAAGTATTTCTGCTATACTGTTTGCTAGAAAAACCATTTTAAAGAAATATTTGGTTGCAAGAAATATAGCACACGTTCCTGGACTGAAATAATTGATTATTAAAAAGGAATTAAGTTTGTGCTTTGGCAGATTGCAAAGACAATGCCATAGAAGCCCCAGGAGGGAAAGGCCTGGCCTGAAGGGTATTAACACCCTTCACATCCCCGCTGGGATTCCCTTCAACAAGGCCATATGGATTTTACAAGAAGCACTGCACCATATGGGTAAGCCACGTCTGCTGCTACTTGTACCACAGACTAGCCACAGGGACTTCTGACAGATCCTGGCTCAAAAATACAAATGTTGTTTCAATTAAAATGCAGGCAGAGAAAAGGGAATGAAGTTGGCAGCAGAATGAATTACTGAGAGGTATAACAACTCTATATATGTTTCATAGTCAAATGCTGAAAAAGATGAAAATCTTCTCTTGGTACAAAGAAGAAATTTATATGGTTATCTCTTCAGTAGAGCAGTAAGGCATTCACAAGCAAACCTCATTATTAATTAATTAAAAGTAAGACCATTCCTGCAGTGTTCAGACCATCATGTAATGGATACTGTGTTTCTTTTCTGCACATTTTTATTTAAGAAGCTGTTTAGTGGCAAATAAAATGTGTTAATTAAAATATAAAAACGTCCTAATGTTTTTAAGAAGTACAAGACCTCTCTCTAGAAAAATCAGAGCTAACAGATCAGCTGTCAGCAAATCTGAATAAATGTATAACACTGATCTTACTGTATTTATTTTCTTGCTTCCAGCAAACCAGTTGGGAAAACAAGTCCTCTGTGAAATGTTTAAATGTAGGAGGAAGGTTGTTGATGATGAAATGTAGTTGGGTCAGTGACGTGCAACACTTGCTTACTATACCAAACCTGCAAGCACTTATGTGCATAAAGGTACCCATATCAGTCATCCCACTAAGTGAGTGTTTGCAGGATTGAGTGTGCAGGTTCCAAACTTCCAGTGCCAAGGGTGGGGATTTAGGTGCTTGATCCTGCGAGGTGCTGCGAACCCTCAAAACTCACTCAAGTGAAAGAATGCTGAGCACTTTGCAGGATGGGACAGCAACTACCATATACTGAAAGTCATGCAGTTAAATTCCTGTGCACTGCACTGAATGCGTACCTTACCTTAAGTATTTGCCTGGTTTTACACAGTGTAAAACACACATGGAAAAATATTAATATATTAACCAGCAAGGTCTGTATATTTCATAACTCTGTAAACATTGCATGAGTGAAATGTTTACAGCTTTTTTCAAGGATATAGTGTATGTCCTGGTAGACCACTACATTAGTACATACAGTAAGAATGAGAAAGCCTATTATTCCTGAGTTCTGGAGCAGCTTTGGGACTCTCACTGTGTGTGATAACAGAGATAAAGAATGGGATGAAAGTAATATGCTGTGTTTTGGGGAAGGATACTAATTCTCTTGATTATGGAAAATCTCTTTCTATGTAGTAGCACATATAATATTCTCCAAAGAGACTGCTGTTCAGTCTCAGTTTTGGCTGGCAGGGAAGGGCCAATGTGGAAATTGCAGGGAATAAAACATACCCACACAAACACACAAAGTAGAAAACAAGCAATAAAACAAAACCAAAAAACACAAACTAAAGAAAAAACAGTCCAAACTTCTAACGTATTAATTTTCAAATAAATCATTCTTTCAGGCTCACAAAATTTTAATTTTCTTCTTTCAAAGAAATAATTTCATTTTTAAATTTTGGGTCTTCAGGTAATAAAGCTCAACACAGGTACCCTGCCACCTTCAACCATTTTCACTTTTAATATACATCTTAGTTTAAAACATCATTTTTGTCTTACTATCAACAATATTAATTGCTGCTTGGTGACTATAGGACTGATTTAAAATAGGGAGGGAAATGTATTTCCAATATTCATCTAAGTTTCCCACTGGAGCTTTTTTTAAAAAAAATAAATTACTGCACAAGGAAGGAAACAAAAGAAAGATATTAACAGAACATAAAGTACATTTTGCAACATTTTTGAGACTCAGATGAACTACAGTACTTTCCCATTGCTCTGCCTCCTACCCCTCCCCCACTCCGACCGGCACATACATACACACACAACTTCTGCAAAACACAGCCTCAGCTCGCTTCCCAACTGGCAGGAGCATCCCTCAGGGGACAAGTCTTTAAACCCCCGCACTCTTTAAAATTCAACCAGCCAGCAGGTCTATAGACTGGTGTATAAACAGTATAGACAAAAAAATCCTCTCTCAGCTTATGTCAGTGACAAAGCAGCTCAGCAGTTGACTGCTTCTCCCCTGACAGTGTAAGCTGGGTTTACACAGATCAATAGATGGAAGTCCTACCTAGCTTCCAGGGCTCAGTTTTCTCCCTTAATTACAGGTGCTATTCAGATTTTAAAAATGGAGGAAAATAAGATGCATCTAAGATGCTTTCTAGGTGTCTTCTAAACACTGTTGGGGTGTATTAATTGCAAATAATCATGTTATACATGTATTCATGCATATTAAGTATTAAAACATATTTAAAATTGACACTTATTGTACAGTGACCCTTTCTCCTGAATGAAACTTGAACTCAGTTTTCTAATCAATCTTCGTTTCCAGGGGCCTGTACCTAAGACATACCTGCTTGTTGGACAGAAAGATGTGTACTCATTAGAAAAGGAGCACTACACTAATTTATATCCCCTTTTATTTTAAAGGTTTAACACAAATATTTATTCTTTTCTGATGAAAAAGTTACATGAATCTTCAAACACAAGAAATATCCTTGATTCGAGCTTCTAGTGGATTATTTTCATCTATGGAAACTGTAATGCTAGATTTGGGTGCTTTCAGAAGAGTATATACTGTTTAACTTGGGAAATAAAATTATTTTGCAATGTATTATCTAATGCTAAAAGCAAAAAACATTGTTGCCTTTAAAAATAGGAAACCTCATATATTTGCATAAATAAATTAACTTTGTTGTTAAAACAACAGGCAACTACCTCACTCTTTAGAAAACTTTCTGTATATACATATAAACATTAACAAAACCACTAGTGTAGTTATGCAAGCTTCAAAAATCCCTCAACTACGAAAAGGGTAGATTTATTTTCCTGAAATATCTCACACTATGGGTGAAATTCCAGTCCTCTGTGCAAAGCCCAAGTAGAAGGGGAATGAAAGTCACTTTCTCATTCCAGAGGCAGGGCATGAAGCATCTCAGCATAGTCTATTTATTTATATAATGTTGTAGCAGATATTGCACCTCCCATGGGGGTTATAGTCCAGTAATTCTTGGCAGTTCACAATTTCACTGACCACACCTTACCATTCCTCCAGCTTTCCCACAAACATAGATCTCTATGCTTCTGTGGAGAAAGCCACGGCAGGCACCCGAAATATAAGAATGATTTTCTTTTTCTTGCTTAACTGTACATCTATCTATTTGGGTTATTATTATATGGCATCCATCACCATGGTATATGCATCATCCAAAGCAAGTAGAGCTGAGGAATATAAGAATGATGTTTAATGCACAGGTGACGATGACCATCTGTTGTAGGAAATCTGCTGCCAACTCACGGCATTGCCTTTGAAAAATATTACTGGTCTGCTCTTCTGGTTAAATGACTGGCATCACATTCATTGTGTGTCTGTCACGGAGGTCACGGAAGTCACAGATTCCGTGACTTTTTCCATGACTTCTGCAGCAGCTGGTTCAGCAGCAGCAGTTTGGGTGTGGGAAGGCGCTCGGGGCTGGGGCAGTGGGTTGGGGTGCGGGACAGCGCTTACCTTGGAGGGCTCCCAGAAAGCGGCTGGTATGTCCCTGCACCTCCTAGGTGGAGGGACCAGGAGGCTCTGCGTGCTGCTCCTGCCTGCAGGCATTGCCCCTGAAGCTCTCATTGGCTGTGGTTCCGGCGCTCATGGTGGGGGCAGCACCTGGAGCCCCTCGGCCCTCCCTCCCACTAGGAGCTGCAGGGACATGCCGGCCATTTCTGGGGAGCTGCTGCCCACCTCCCCCCAGCACCCGTGGCGGCTCCGGACTGCCCTCCCAGAGCACCTGCGACCAGCTGGCCCAAGTTTTAGTTAGGGGTATATAGTACAAGTCATGGACAGGTCACGGGCTGTGAATTTTTGTTTACTGACCGTGACCTGTCCATGACTTTTACTAAAAATACCAGTGACTAAAATTTAGCCTTATTCATTACTAGCTAGGAAGGACAAGGCTGGAATTTTAAAAATTACAGTCATCATCAAAGAGAAGAGGATTTTCATTAAGTTACACAGATCAATACTCAGAAATGCAAAATCCTACTTTAATTAATCTTCATTTTGTGTAAAAACAATCATCAAGAGTAGATCAATCATATTTTCTCTTGGTCAGACACTAAAAGTACTAAAATGTTGTTCAATATCCCCTTCCCAACCAGAACACCACAAATGGCTAAAAATATAGGGTGAAATCCTGGCCTTATTTAAGTCAATGGCAAGACTCCTATTGACTTCAACAGAGCCAGGATTTCACTCATAATGTCTATACAATACATAAAGGTTTTGTAGGATACATTCTTTACTCACCCCAATCTTATCCTAAAAAGCAGATTTATGACCCTCTATAAACAAAGAAGTTCAAATTGTGTCATATTCCGAAAGTTGGAGTCTGAAATGCATAATGGAATTTTGATAGTTGATTTACCAACTTGAAAGGAGAGACTATTACATTAAACAATAAAGCTTGTATACCAGAAAGGGGTGCATACTGATGGGAAAGGTAACTTGGGAATGTACAAATTTATATTTTTCTTTAAAAAAAAACTCTGGCGTCTAACTATAAATGAATGGAGACTAACGCGCTGTCTACATGGGAAAGTTATACCAATGTAGCTTAGGTGTGAATTTAAACCAATATAGTTATACCA